CTGGGTCGACCTCACAGGAACGGCCGGGGTGTCTGGGCGCGGTAGAGGACCAGGCGCGGTGCGGTGGACCTCCTGGCGCGATCGAGAAGCGCTAGGCCGTGCGGCACTGCGTACCCCTACTTACGAACTTTCGACGCGCCGCTGTGGCTGCTGGAATCAAGGCCGTGTAACCAGGTCTGGGATTGTTTTGTCAGGGAGTTTTTTGTTGGCTGATTTTGCTGCGCGTGGTAACGTTCGTGGGATTCCTCCGTTGATTGATTTTCACGGCGTTCTGTTTTCAGTGCGCGCCTCGGTCAATAGGTTCTCCTTAGTCCTCGACATGTTGCGCGCTATACGCCTTGCACTCTAGCGGCATACTGCGCTAAGCTTTGTGAGTTAGCGCACTATGCTGCCAAAGTGACCAAGCTCCTCCGCCCCCAGTCCTCTTCCCACGTCCAGCTTGACGTGGGAAGATCTGCTGGACCCTGTCTGCCATCACTGGACTCTGACTACGTGGTGGTGACAGTGGCGGTAGACAACGTGGTGGTGGTGGACACCATGTGGTGGTTTCCCGTGGGGCGATAATCGGAATGGTGCCTGGCAGGCAACCCCAGTCAGCTCAGCCACCCCGCCTCTTCCATCACCGGAAGACTTCGCGCCTAGCGGCCGTTGTCGCTCTGATTGTCGACGAAGCCGATCTCCAAACGGGACGTGTCGCCCGTGTTTCTGGGTCGAAGAGGATGTGACATAACCTGGTGTTCGTGTTCTGTTGCAGGGAAGAGAACATCCGCCGCGTAGCCGAGGTGGCAAAGCTGTTCGCAGATAGCGGGGTGGTGGCCCTCTGCAGCTTCGTCTCGCCGTACGCCAAGGTCAGTCTCCTCAGCGATATGACGCGAAGTTCACGTCCTGATTCGTCTCCTTGCTGTGACGAGGGTGGTCCCTTCACTTTCGTTTTCAGCTATCAACATCAGCCCCTCGGGCAAACCCCATCCGTTACTGTGTCGTCACTGCACAGGTGTTTCCACCACAAATGTTTCTTCACTTTCGTCACCGCGACTGTGGCGTCGTTGACAATGTTAGCTTGTGGCTACTTCGTCTCCCCTTTCCCAAGACTGCTTTCTTCAACTTCGGGCATTCAGTTCCGTTTTCCGTGCCGCCCAGACTGCTTTTTTCAGCCTCGTCGTGCTTGACGCCCTTATTTTGTCCTTGCAGATCCGTTGGGTGTTTGAGCTGCGAAATGTCGCGTGTGTGTAGTTGCTATTTATGCACGGAACAATGTACGTTAAACATTTAATTAGTTATCCACGGAACGAGGAGCCGATGACAAATGTTGTGTTGGCACATCATTGCGCTTGCCTCATGCTCTCAACGATTAAGTTTTATGTGAAGTGCTTGACGCTGCATTACGAGAAGGCGACGTGACGTTTCTTCTGACGTCACAAACAGCCAGTGACGTATGCTTTTCAAGGTGACGTGGTATGTTTGTGTGACGTCACATGACCTGACGGGGCGCATGCGTGTGTGACCGGACGTCTGGAAAGTGACGTATGCGCCGCATCACAACACTTCGAGATGGCGCGTGTGACATGGATGCACCGATGACCTGTCCACCTGTGACGTCACAGGACCGTGACGTGGCGCGGAAGCTGCACGCCGACTCGAATCTGCCGTTCTACGAGTGTTTCGTCGACACGCCGCTGGCAGTGTGCGAGACGAGGGACGTCAAGGGCCTCTACAACAAGGCGCGCCAGGGGCTGATCAAAGGTGCGCCGTCGGTGTGTCTACTGGCCCATTACACTGACCTGTTATACTGTGTCTACTGACCTGCTACACTGCGCCTGCTGACCTGTTACACTGCGTCCGCTGACCTGTTCCGCTGTGTCTACTGACCTGCTCCGCTGTGTCTACCGACCTGTTCCGCTGCGTCTACTGACCTGCTCCGTTGTGTCTACTGGCCTGTTACACTGCGTCTACCGACCCCTTCCGCTGTGTCTACTCGCCTGTTCCGCTGTGTCTACCGACCTGTTCTGCTGTTTCTACTGACCTGTCTCGCTGTTTCTACCGGTCTGTTCCGCTGTGTCCACTGACCTGTTCCGCTGTGTCTACTGACCTGTTCCGCTGCGTCTACTGACCTGTTTCGCTGTTTCCACCGGTCTGTTCCGCTGTGTCTACTGACCTGCTCTGCTGCGTCTACCGACCTGTGTTGGTTTGTCGGCAGGTTTCACCGGAATTGATGCGCCCTACGAACGCCCTTCGAAGCCCGATATTACCCTGTACACGGACAAGTGCAGCGTCCAGGACTGCGTGGACCAGATGGTGGAACTGCTGACCTCGCATGTAAGAGCCGATGCTACCTGCTTACATCGCATACAAGAGCGAGACCCGGTTCCTGTTGCTGACATTGCGTAACAGCGGTGATTGACACGCGTGGAGTCTTAGAGTTACGGGCTGAGAGATACGTCAACGCCATTGCAATGGTCGGTGAACACACGTAAACCCGCGTTCTCATCTTACACCTGAACCTGCTCACTGGTGCTCACCAAACGTGACTGCCTGGCACTAGTACTCCCATAATGCGCATAAGTCGCCCGCCACCATTTTCCACAGACGGAAAACCGCTCTTCGGATACGTTGATCCTGTGCTGGTTCTCACCTTACACTGATATGGGTGTAGGCTCGTGCCGGTTCTCACCTTACACTGATATGGGTTAAAATCGTGCCGGTTCTCACCTCACACTGATATGGGTGTGGCCTCGTGCCGGTTCCCACTTTACACTGATATGGGTGTAACTTCTTGCTGATTCTCACCTTACACTGATATGGCTGCAACATCTTGCCGGTCCTCGCCTTACACTGATAAGGGCGTAACTTCTTGTCGATTCTCACCTTACACTTATATGGCTGTAACCTCTTGTCGATTCTCACCTTACACTGATATGGCTGTGACCGCTTGCCGAGTCTTACACTGATATGGCTGTAACCTCTTGCCGATTCTTATACTGATCTGGCTGTAACCTCTTTTACACTGATGTGGCTGTAACCTCTTGCCGGTTCTCGCCTTACATTGATATGGGTGTAGGGTGTAACCTCTTGCCGATTCTCACCGTACACTGATGTGGTTGTAGCCTCTTGCCGATTCTCACCGTACACTGATATGGAAGTAACCTCGTGCTGATTCTCACCTTACGCTGATGTGGGTGTATCCTCGTGCTGATTCTTACCTTACGCTGATGTGGGTGTAACCTCGTGCTGATTCTCACTTTGCACTGATAAGAGTGACAGCACTTTGACCCACGTGCTGTCGATGGTGCTGGTATTGTGGTTAAAGCGTCTGCGTTGACCAGTGCGCGCCTAGGAAATCAGAGCTACTGTGTTCGATTTCCCGCGGTGCCCGCCGTTCCTGCCCGGGTGTGACGCAGCGATGCCATATAGTCTCAGCAGCTGAGACACTCAAGGCGATGTCACTCTCCTCACGTGAGGTTTCGCATCGACTGAGGCTAAGCTTGCGTTGAGAAAGCGCTGTCAATATCTGTTGTTTGACTCACGCGTCGGACAGTCAAACTGGGTTGCCCTTCAGGTTATTCGTAAGTATATTATTACGTATTACGCATGCCCACGATGGCGAAGAGTGAGTCGTGGTTGCTCTATTAACGGTGGACGACTATACCCAGTTTGGTTGGTGGTCGTTCGTGCTCATTTTTTGTTCGCCGTCGTCTCTCAATAACCCTGGGACTCTCTTTTTAAGTATCGCTCTTCACATAAACTATGATAGCTGGGCTCTCTAAATACAAATGCAGCTGCTAAGGTCATTAGCATTGTCACAGCATGGCGGAAACCCGCACGACGAAAGTTTCCCGAGGCCGGAATCGAACCCAGACCTCCCTCTAGAACCGGCTGCCCAAACCGCCGGGCCACGCGCCCCCCACGCGGTCCGGCCGCCAGCGTGCCCGGGGTTACCATACCCGTCCGTCGCGCCCTCCGGCGGTCACGTGGCCGTTCCCGCGCGGGCAGAGGTCGGTCGAGGTCAGCGGGGTCGGCATTCGCCCAGCCGCGGACGATCAGACGGACCGGCTCCACCTGAAAGAACGCACTCAGCGCGGCGGAGCGTGACACCATGCAACCGGGCGCGGCCGCGCCCGACGCCGACTCGGTGTCAGCTGACACCGCGTGTCATCGGGAGCCTCGTGACTCTCCCTCGCGGTCGTGGTCGTCACCGGGCGGCCGCCGCCGGCAGGGTATCGTGCCGCGCTCGGCGAGCCAGGCGATCGGCGAGCTCTTCGTGCCGGCGGAGGAGCTGGCGGCGGCGCGCGAGGAGGCGGCCGCCCTGCCCGCCGTCGACATCTCCACAGTGGACCTGCAGTGGGTAGGTGGAGCGGTGGAGTGTGGAGAGGTGGAGTGTCGGTGGGTGAAGCAATGGAAGGTGGATCGTTGCAGCGGTGGGACGTGGAACTGTGGAATGGCGGAGTGTGGATCGATGGGAGGGATGTGGAGCGGTGGAGCACTGGAACGGGAGCGGTGGAACAGTGGGATGTGGATTGGTGGAGGTGCGGTCTGCAGTTGAGTCGTGCTCCTCGCCCAGATCATCGTGCGGATTGACGTGCTCTGCGTGAGCCAAATGATTTTTACTCTAGAGCTAAGGCTTGTTTGAGGTGTCAGTTCGATTGCTGTGAAAATCCAGAGGTGACCTGGTTTCAGCACCGCCTGAATGTGGGCCCCTGTGTAGCTTTCTGGGATCGGTGAGAGCAGTGCGCCAGTGGTGTCTGATCATGAGATTTCCCGATGATCAGACCCTTCCCGTTATTAGTGCGTATATTAACTCAACCCGGCATCACCGTGGCTGGCCGGCGATGTGACGTCACGGCTGTTGGTGTGACCTCACGGCTTTCGATGTGACGTCACGGCTGACGGTGTGACGTCACGGCTGGCGATGTGACCTCACGTGTTTCGATGTGACGTCACGGCTGACTATGTGACACCCAAGCTTACAGTGTGACGTCACGGCCGACTGTTGGCTGTTGCAGGTGCAGGTGCTGGGGGAGGGCTGGGCACCCCCGCTCACCGGCTTCATGAGGGAGCGTGAGTTCCTGCAGGTACGTGGACCGCGCAGGGCCGACGGGTCTCGCCTCCGCACGCCGCACATGATGAATGACCCCGTCTGTGTGGGGCCGACACGGTCTTGCAGTGCGCCGCGGAGGCCCTGTGATAACGCACCAAACTGAGGGATATGACGTGTGCAGCGCATGTAGCCTGTAATTGCTCGGTCGAGACGGCGTTAGCGGCGGCCAATCAGCAGAGACGTGGACAGAATGAAGTGACGGGCTTTGTTGCTCATGAAAAGATGATTTCGCCTGATGCGTATTTACTCAGAAATCGGTTAAGTGTGTATAAGAAATGACTGTTCTGAGTTTTGCTGAAAGGAAATTATCTTCAGTTGTTGAATAAAAAGATGTCATTTCAGTTGTCCTTCAAAACGAGTGGCAGCAAGATGTGGGGTAGCAATAATGTTTTCGTGGTTTCGCCTTGCAATGTGTACCTCTTTATGACCGAACGCGTTCTCAAAACCATTTGACAACGATAATCGGCTGCTGCCAAGTCCACCGCTCCGCAGAGGGCACGTTCTGCCGACGCCCCCTCCCCCCGCACCCCCCCAACCGGCGCCTCAAACCCGCACCCGCACCCCGAACCCGTACCCGTACTCCGCACCCCACAACACCTGCTCCCGTACTCTCTGCTCCCGTACCACTCTGCACTTCGCCCCCCCCCCCCCATCCCACATCCCTCCGCATCCTGCACCCAGCACCCACCCCACTCCCTGCACCCCGTACCCCGCACGCGGTGTGTGACGCGACCGCCCTGCTGCCGGCAGTGTCAACACTTCGGCAGCATGCTGGACGACGGCGTGACGAACCAGTCGGTGCCGATCGTGCTGCCCGTGCAGACGGCCGATAAGGAGCGGCTGGCCGCGCTGCCCGCCTTCTGCCTCAGGTCAGGCCGGGTCACAGGGCCACGGGAGGCCTCTGACTCAGGTCAGGCCGGGTCACAGGGCCACGGAAGGCCTCTGCCTCAGGTCAGGCCGGATCACCGGGTCACGGAGGGTTTACGTGACGTCACTGACGGTGTGGATTACGGAGAGGCCACGAGCCTGGTGGTCTCATGGTGTGTCGGGCCACTATAGAGGTCAGGTCATGGTGGTGGCGGGTCAGGTCAGCGGGCCGTTGTGCCGTCGTGCTGTGTCAGGTCACTGAAGCCGCGTGGTTTTGGCTAGGTTAGTGCACACCGGTCACAATAATAGGTAAGTTTGAATCAATGCACCGTCTTACAATGCCAGACGTTAATTGTCCCAGCGTTTGCAGTACACATGCGCACACTTAAAGCTCCGGGGGCCTCCGTGATTTTTCAGCTTCCTTGTGGGGTGAACACCCCTGTCATTGTTGCCAGTTGTCATTGCTTCATTGCACGGCACCCCACCCCTTGCTGTAGCGTCTGCCCTCCGCTCCCGCCCTCTGTAACGTCTGCCCTCCGCCCCCGCCCTCTGTAGCGTCTGCCTTCCGCCCCCCCCCCCCCCCCTGTGACGTCTCCCCTCCGTTCCCGCCCCTGTAATGTCTGCCCTCCGCCCCCGTCCCCTGTAACGTCTCCCCTCCGTTCCCGCCCTCTGTAACGTCTGCCTTCCGCTCCCCCTCCCACCCCCTGCAGCGTCTGCCCTCCGCCTCTGCCGCTTGTATCGTTTGCTCTCTGCTCCCTCCCCCTGCAGCGTCTGCCCTCCGCCCGCCCCCTGTAACGTCTACCCTCCGCAGGTACGACGGTCGTCCGGTGGCCATCGTGAGGAAGCCCGAGTTCTTCGAGCACAGGAAGGAGGAGCGCTGCGGCAGACAGTGGGGCACCACCAACCCCGGCCACCCCTATGTCAAGGTAGGCGGCGGCGGCCGGTGATGTCGCCCTATCAAGCTGGCTTGGCTCGTGGCCAATGAAGTGACCAACTATCACACTATATTAGATTATGTCGTATTATGTACTTGTGACATAAGACATGTATTTGTCCACATGGATTATGGGTCGTTCATCTCTACGTCGAGGGTGTAGTTTCGTTCCCTCTCGTTTTGTCGGAATGGGACCTTCCAACTCGCAATGTGCAGTTCCCATGTGGATCTCTATGTTGGCCTTTGTAACGACTCGGTCATTTCGGCTGCTTCACTTGGCGCACAAGAAGACAATACTGTTCATGCAAAGCATTGTCGTCATCGGGCCGTTATGACGCACTCAACTGCCGCGATATATCCGGCATATTGGCGTCTTTGCCCCCCCCCCCCCCCTCCCACCCCCCGTCCATCCGCATGCCGCACAACACCGTCCAGTTCAGCACCAGCTAGCGAGCCACCTCTCAAACCTGAAGTGTCTGCGGCCGCCACCAGATGGTGATGGAGTCGGGCGACTGGCTGTGTGGCGGCGACCTGGAGGTTCTGGAGCGTATTCGCTGGAACGACGGACTGGACCAGTACCGCCTGACGCCCATCGAGCTGCGGGCAAGGTACGGCCACACTCGGCGGGCATTCACTAGGCGGGTGGTGATGGCTTCGGGTAATGATCGATAGCTGTGGGGTTCGATTTCCACTGTGGGAAACATTCACGTCCTCGTTTTCGTAAGGGTGGAGCGACTTAAATGATCTTTGCAGTTCTCCGTAAATTTTACTACATACGCAACATGCTTAGTGGATTCAAATCATTTCAGTTCGAAACCATGGACCATTCCGTGCGATCGTTCAACCACTTAACCGTGGTGACTGTGCTTTAGTAGTCATCCACAAGGAGTGTTATTTCTAAGACTTACACCCTCGCATCCCGCAAGCTCCAGTCCTTACAATGCTCTGCAGATGCCACCCGCACGAAGTGATGCGACTAAGAACAGGTCCTGAGTTATGTATCTTGGCTGTCGTACATCGGCCGTACGCAGGTCCGAGTTGACCGCACCCCGCTGACCGCCCCCCTCCCCCCCCTCTCCCTCCCTCCTGCGCAGGTTCCGTGAGCTCGAGGCCGACGCCGTGTTCGCCTTCCAGCTGAGGAATCCCATCCACAACGGTCACGCGCTGCTCATGCAGGTAAGACCGGCGCTTGTTAAGACTACCGGCGATCGCAGGAGTCTCAGAACTAAAGTGTGTATACCTTGGGCGTCGAAGTGTGTTGAAATGTCTGTTAGTGATAACAGATATATAACTTCAAGTCATGAAACTTCCAAAATGAAACATGCTCTTAAGGATGCACAATTTTGTCAACAACATGTGTTTGTATGAATGAAATGTGGTATCAATTTGCATATTGTCAGTTAACAGCTTGATTTATGGGGTGACTTAGTCTGGGCTACTGGACTACTGCACTTCCCCGGGGCAGCTCTGCTAGATGGAAGCATCATGCTGTATAACCAACGAGGATCGTACGAGTTTGCAATCCGTCGAGATTCGCTAAGTTTTCCGTGGTGTCGCGAGTAGAATTGTTCTCAAGTTTTCGGTTGTGTCGCAAGTAGAATTGTTCTCAAGCTTTCCGTGGTGTCGCGAGTGGAATTGCTCTCAAGTTTACCGTTGTGTCGCGAGTAGAATTGTTCTCAAGTTTTCCGTGGTGTCGCGAGTGGAATTGTTCTCAAGCTCTGCGCGGTGCCACCAGGACACCAAGCGTCGCCTGTTGGAGCGGGGGTACAAGAAGCCCGTGCTGCTGCTGCATCCGCTCGGCGGCTGGACCAAGGAGGACGACGTCCCGCTGGCCACCCGGATCGAGCAGCACCAGGTGAGGCCGCGGTCAGCTGGGGCGTAGGGACATCTGTCGGACGCGGGCAGAAGCCTTGAGTTGCTGTAGTGGCGCTGCACGCGAACTAGCAACGGGATTATGCGATCTCTAGGGATAAGGTTTAGCTTGTATTCGCAGCGCACCAAGAATGTTTTATTCTACGTGAGGTCGCGTGAAGCGGTTGTAAAAGTTCGCAATGGGACTCCTTTTCTGTTTGCATGTTGGTAACCGTCATGACAATAATTGCGTTTGCGGCGACAATATTTTCGGCTGCAGGCACTACGAGTACTGCTTTGAATGGAAATTGCAAATGATGTTCTTTGTGACGCATAAAATACTGTTTTATCACACGTGGTCGGTGCACGATTCAATTGCTGCGCCATTTTGTCTAGAGCCGATCCAGTCGCGGAAAAGGGTCCTTTGCTGTTGGCAAATATTCGTCCGGGTTACTGCGGGCACCACACGGCACAGAATTTGTGGTATTTGATGTGATAAGCGACGTCGGCGGCATTGAGAAGACACCCGTAATCTTGGGCCCCTGATTGGGAGCTGGCATTCATGTCAGCGACATCTATTGATGGCGGTGTAAGCCCGAGTTCTTCGGGGGCGCCGGTGCCGCCCTGGCGAATTCCGCACCAGCTACAGCGTTTTCGTGTCCGCTCTTTCACGAGACGGTGCGCTGGACCGCCTGAGGAGGCGTCTTGTGGGATGAATTTTTCATTCGCGCCTAAGCTGATGTGATGACGGACAGTTGACGGTTTTCCGCGATTTGTTGGGACTGTGGACAGTGATGTGGTGGCGGGGTGTGTGTGGTGCTATAGAGACTGTTCGTACTTGGACTAAAAGGTATGAAGCAACTTTTTATACACATGTCTACAGCAGATGTGTGCATGACGCGCAAGTGACAGTCAATTCACGATTCCATCAGAAACCCTTGTCGAATTATACATTTTCCTCGTTTTTCGCGTGCCCTCCGTACTTAGTTGATTCTCACTCGTCCACACGTTGTCCATGACCTGCGGGTGTTAATATGACTTCTGCTAACGCTAGCGCTCAATTTAAGTGTGCGCGACAACGTGCGTCGCGTTACCTAACGAAGAATGCCGCTCGTTCCTTGCTCTTGTGTGCGAAGGCCCGTGACCCTGGCAAAAAGCCCTCTGGCTCCATGATTATTTATGCGTTTTACATGTGTGTATGTTGATAAGTTTATTTGGTGATATGGTTCTATAGGAGGGTGTGTTGACCCAGCGGTCTGCAGGTGACCCCGCTGGGCTATAAATGACCCTGCCATTCAAGCGGAAACGCACATACATACGACATTTTGTAGCGAACAATTGAACCCAGGTATGGTCCCAATCCACTCTATTTCGGATGCGTGACGTTTTTGCGCATTTGCAATGACAGTGGTGAATACATGCACAATTATGGTAATTGCAATGATGACACGTCTGTTAGCCAATCCCGAAGAGGGCATGCTGAATCCATGTGACGATCGTAACGACGCGTCCTCCCGGGCGCCACCAGCCAACAGCGCAGTCAGCTCACCCTGTGACCCACGCCATCCTGATCATGGCAGGCGATCCTGGAGGAGGGCGTGCTGGACCCGCAGTCCACGGTGCTGGCCATCTTCCCGTCGCCCATGCTGTACGCCGGGCCGACCGAGGTGCAGTGGCACGCCAAGGCGCGCCTCTGCACCGGCGCCAGCTTCTACATCGTGGGGCGCGACCCGGCCGGCATGAAACACCCCGACAGCGGCGAAGACCTGTACGAGCCCACACACGGCAGCAAGGTACGGCCGCAGCCGGTGCGGGTTCGAGTCCCGAGAGGGTCGGGTTTTTCAGAAGCTGTGTGTTGACGGAGTAGGCGGGGTTGCGGCGGGAGTGCTGGTTATGTGCGCTGCCGAATAAGGCGATGGCTGCCACTATATTCAGTCTGGGTGGCCGTGGCGCGAAAGACGCGACGCAGAGCCGTGTTCCAAACTCTGGCTGATGGCCACTGGGCTCTTGTGGACGTGGGGTTGATACTCACCTTTAGTCGTGACAACTCCCGGGAAGGTGGCGGTACCGTAGTAAATGGCAAGGGGACTG